TTGAGCCGTTCTGTGCAGGATTGTGGCATCTTTCGAATATTCAGTGATTGCTATGGTGAATGACGTCAAGTTGACCGTTACAATATGGCGCACGGCTTACGTATAGCGGCCCATAGAAACAGTCGCTAATGAGGCATCTACCTATATATATCTATGACCAGTACGACATTTAGCGGAAGCTAGAGATTTTGGTTTATAAAGTTTTAAATATGGATATTATTCTTACACAAAGCTTCGAGTCTGCTCAGAAGGCCTTTATTAACCCACCGCTTGGAAGAACCAGGATATTTTTTTAATATAACTCCAATTGTATTCGTCTGAAAGATGAAAGTCATTTACACCTAGGATGGCTTGAGGGTGTGTAAATCATGTGGTAATTTTCATTTTTGAGTGAACTGTCCCTTTAAAGCAATGCCATTTTTGCAACATTGGAGCCCCCTACAGTTAAATGAGTGGAATTCACTGTTCTAAATATATCACTGTGGATAGCTGTGCACATGCATTTGTTGATGCCATAAATTAATCCGCCCTTTTCAAGGAATTTCGTACCGCTACATTCTCCCACAACAGACCTTTGGTGGGGAGCGCGGGAAACAAACTGAAGTCAACAAACATGTTGTGGGGCCACAGTATATTTACAAAACCAATTGACATGTCTGTGTTTTGAAATGTGTGGTATCTTGCGATGATGAGACAGGACTTTTTAAAGACCTTTCAACTCATCTGAACACTTGTTACTGAACACTATAATAATCCAACGCTAGGCAGAAAATACTACCTGGAACATTCTTGGAAAAGGACAGGAACATTATTTAGAGGGTTGAATGGGCACATGAAGAGAAGAAGCTGAAAACGATTTCCAGTAACAGGTGTAAATGTCCACCGTTAAGCATCTGCTCAACACACTGTAAAACACACAAGGGTGTGTGACTGGTCTGATTGTTAAGTAAAAGATTTGGGATTTCTAAGTTTGATGCAATCTAGAAAATAATGTGGATGTAGTACTTTTCCCCAAAAAGAAGTCAGCCTCAGCAGAGTATGCTGAGATGAAGTTGAAGTCAAAGATAGCATCATTTTGAGACATGGGCTCTTTGCAGAAAAAAAGGAAAAAGAAAAGATTTGACTCCATTCCATTTGCGACGAAGTGTGAAAAGTGTTAAATGGATTTCAGAATTTAAAAGAGACCATCAAAAAGTCCAATTATCATCTCTATGTGCATTCACATGGACAGACTGCACTGAGATAAAAGACTGTGCCTTCTTGCACAGCAGTTCTTCTGGCTTCTTCTCATTAGTTTGCCCTTGGGACAAAATGATATATCTGTCATCTTTCAGATATGTAGAGAATTTTAGTCAGCAAAGAAACCCTGCTGTCTCACGGAGGTTAAAATAAAGCCATGTTTGACATGTGTGATCCTTCACTGAAGTGCTTGCTGTCATTGCCACCGAATATTTCTTAGTTTCATCTTTATCCTCGACATAATGCATTTTTGAAAATGTGTACATAAGGGTAGCCACAAACAAGAGTGGTGCTTGCTTGTTCAATTGTCATCAATGGTTGGTTATTAATATATTGTTATATGGTTGCTTAGGCATGCTATTGCATAAGGCAATAGAACGTCAGGCTTTTTATAGGCATAAGTCCACCATCTTTCATTTTTAATAGAAAGAGAACAGTTGAACTACACGACTTTTAGAATCTAAACAGATTTTAAAACACTAGGCATCAAATATTTGCAGACTTTGTAAATGGCTCCAGAGGAAAAACTGGGCATCATTCACTGAACGACTGAAGATCAGACACTTACAGACTTTTAATTGGTTTCCCGCACAACCTCATTCAGAAACATGCATGTCCTAGCAATGAAGCTGAACAAACTTTAGTTCTAAAATCAGCTCAAAATTTCAATCGTGTTTCAGATCCTCCAACTGGATGGAATCATAGTCTGAAGCTAAAAAAAAAAAACTGAGTTTGCACCCATCATACACTTTGCAAGTGACTGCGAAATCTGTGTGTAAAGTGGGGCAAAAATCGGGGCAAAAATAGTGTAATGTATTCCAGGCTTAATAATGAAATAACTGGAATACATTACTGATTTTCTTAACCTTGCAAATGCACATGACCTTATTGTACATGCATTTGTAGGAGTTTTCCTTTCAGATGCAAAGTTTATGGTAGGAGAGCTAACTGTGCTGAGAATTTCAGGCCGAGAGTGGTTCATAATCGTGCCGTGCCGAACCGAGCTCAAGTGGAAACATAACTGGAACCATTCCTTATCGTTCTTAGAACCGTTTGGATCAATGGTGGAAAAACAGCTTAACAATATCGTTCCTCTATGCCATTATCATTATAGTTGAGGTGTGGACTAAAATATTTTTTTGGTGGTGAGATGTTATTCCAAACATCTATGAATTTCTCTCTTCTGTTGAACACAAAAGAAGATATGGTGCCTAGCCATTGATCCAGTCTAAAAAATGCTGGGTTATTTCAACCCAACTTTCGGTCAAATATGGACTAACCCAACAGTTGGGTTAAATTTTTACATAAAATTTTTAACCCAAAAGTTGGGTTAGTCCATATTTGACACAAAGTTGGGTTGAAACAACCCAGCATTTTTTAGAGTGCATAGTATTTTGTTCTCATACTGTGAACGTCAGTGACTAAAAGCAGCTGTTTGGTTACCAACTTTCTTCAAAATATCTTCTTTCGTGTTCAACTGAAGAAAGGAATTCGGTAACACTTTATTTCGATAGTCCACTTTAGACATTCTATTAACAGTAAGTAACTTTGCAACTACATGTCAACTAGCAGTTAGTAGAGTATTAGTAGACTGTCTGCTTAATATCTTCTAACACTTTCTTTGTCAACTTATTCTACTAACCCTAAACCTACCCTAACAGTCTACTCTGAGAGTTAGTAGACATGTAGTTACAAATGAATGAGAATTAGTTGACATATAGTTACAAAGTTACTTATAGTTAATAGAATGTCTAAAGTGGACTATCGAAATAAAGTGTAACCAGGAATTCATACAGGTTTGGAACAATGTGAGGGTGAGTTAATGATGACTGAATGTTCATTTTTGGTTGAACTATCTCTTTTTTCTTACAGTCAGTTTTCTCTTTCAGGTCAGCTGTTATGACAGTTGTTTCAAGCGAATCTTAGTGAATCTTAGAATCTTAGTGAAACTTGTGCCTTTGCTCTTCATTGCGCTATGCTACAATATAAAACTTTTAGGTGTTATTTGAGAGATACAGAGTCACATTATCATTTTAAGCACATTTTGATTTTTGTATTTCCCCACTCAGGAACTAAATTGCCTTGAAATGAACTTTGACCATGTCCAAATAGAAATTCAACTGGAAACGTTCCCTAGCATGCTCCGAATCATTCGGTTTTACAGTGTAAAAATGCTTTATGTTTCTGCCCTTAGGTTTAGGGGATCAAATCACTAATCCTAAATATGAGTAATCGTAGTAGTGATGCTTGCTTTAGTAAACACCATAAATCATGTGTGCAAGCTCAATGACAGGGCTTTGATGAAAAGTGGCACATGGTTATTTCTGTTCAGTTCTTCACCTCCATGCTTCAAAGGGGCAAGGTCAGGGTGTCGGGCTGGCTAGGAAGGACTCATTCCACACATCATTTGGCAGGAAATTGCTGCCCTACACAGTTTCACACACTGGCACACGGCCCACAAAGCCACAAATCTGCCAGCAGCATTATCGGGTATTTTAAAAACCCTTACAGGTCTCAAGAGGAGCAAGAGAAGGCTGACGGTTATCTTGGAATTTCATTGCTCTACTTTGGCTCAAATCTATCAATACAGGTATGTATGAGACCTTGGCCTTGCAACGGATTGAAACGGAAAGCTTTGGATTAAATATATTGATTAGTAAAACAGAGCATGCATGTTGGGTTTAAATGCTATGATACCTTCTGATAAGTACTCAGAGGATAGCAGAGCACATTTCCTGAAAGGGAAAATGATTCAGAAATACATTGTCACTCATGTGCTTTTTTTGATTCAAGTTGTCCTGGAGTTAAACGCGACTGCTCTACAAAGCCACGTCAAGTGAGACATAGAAAAATATAATAGAAAGCCACTAAGCTGTTGTCTGTTGATGTAAATGAAAAACAGTTTTATTGGTGAATTCCAAAGAATACAGGACTTTGTGTGCATTGATTTTTAAATCCATTTATCAAATGGATACAACGTTTTTAGACGGTTTCAATCAACCAAAAACCTTTATCGATTAGTTGTGATAGAAAAGGCCTATTCATTCTCAGCAGGAACTTGTAAAAATATGCGTCCCTCATTGCTGAGTGCTTTCAATCATCTCATTACTTAAAAATCATATGACATTGGACAAAAGGAAAGAGCTTTAGCATTTTTTGTCCAAGTAGACTCCTTCTCCTTGTTTCAGGGATAAGGATTTGGGCTGTTTTCCAAACCAGGGTCAGTGAATCAATAACGCATTTACTCTAGAATGCTTTATGTTTGGCATGGTTCTGCATTTAGCAAAAGCATGTTCCGCTTAAGAAACAGTTGACATTGCCGATACAGCATGTATACGTGAATGTGTACTTGTAATAGTAATGTAATTCTCTTCACGCCCTGATGCTCTGAGTAATGACAAGGCAATCTTGAAAGTGGGGCTCTATCAACCGTCAACTCCATTGCTGCCCCCTAATGACCTGCTCTTCATAGCTGCAAATAAGAGTGCTCAAGCTTTGTTTGAATATGCATAAACTTGATTTTAATATGCATGCAGGGCCACCCCTAAAAAATGTTTTGGGAGCACGTTCAAGCATGCTAATCATGTCTGAGCACTTTATGTTGTGATAGTGCTAATAGTTTGAGTTGAGTTCTTTAGAAAATGACCAAGATTGGATAAAATCTTCATATTTAAGAATTGTTTAAGTTGAGTGGAATCGGCCACATCTCACAGGATGCTGAATATATGCATGTATATGCATGTAGATTCAAATATAAATCTGCATCCTGTTCCAAATAATTTCCAATTTCCAGAATTAATAAGGCTGGACATGACATGCTGGATACACAGCAGTCTCTGGGTCAATTTCAGTTTGTCTAAAGTCAATGTTAAAAGGGATTTGAGAAATATTTATTTTCGTTTCCAAACTAAATTGAGATTTTAATGGAAGTAGACATATACTCAAACAAACAAACCACTTGATATTGCAAAGGCATTGCTCAGCCTGCCTCTCAAGCTTTCTTAAGGCCATCTCCGCTCAGATTTATTCAGAAACTGCACTTACGGAGTTATGGACCATCTTTCCTTGCTGATTTATGCACCACTGAAGTGCACTGTCAGTGAATAGTTAATATATTCTTTACATAGTAAAACCAGTCTATTGTAAAATCAATACTACTGGCTTCTGTACAAACAATGTGTTAAGAGAGAGTCAGAGAGTTGTATAATGGAACTATGGTATAAATGGAAAATGTATAATCTCAAATCATTTTCAATATGTACATTTTTAGATATGTAATATTCAAAGGCTTTTTACCATAAGTGCAGTGTTCGGTGTGACCATGTAAAATGTTTGTGTCGTTATCCAATGATTTCTCTGTTTTTAGGTCTTCCAGATCTCGCTGACAGGCATCAGACAAGATGTTCTTTGTGAAGGGGGTCAAAGCAACACGAGTCACACAACAAAGGTGTGCAATTGTTTAGCACCTGCTCTACCTACTTCTATGTACCTTAACTGTCATTTGGGTGATTGTTGTTCATGTCATTTGTGGCCAATCAGCACCCAGGACTGGAACTATACATTTTATAAATTATAAACTATTTCACAGTTTGGACTTCTTTTCAGGTTGATTTACAAGACATTGTGGGGGAAAAAAAAAAAAAACGAGACAGAAACGGCGCAGAAGGCTGGGGAGGACAGAGCCATTCTGCTGGGGTTGGGAATGGTGTTCAGCTCGGTCATGATGTACTTTGTGATCTGTATGGTTCGTGCTTATGCAGACAGGTAGTGTTATGTCATGACTGCTTTAATAATATTTAGCTGTGAACTAAAACAATAACTACATCATCAGTGTATCTACAGTTGCAATCAAAAATATTCACCCCCCCCCTTGACCTGCCATGCATTCTGTTGCAGTGAACAATATTTTATGAAAACAATTCACCCCAGGTATGAATAAACTATTATAGAAAGTTTATTAATACACATTTCATTGATTCTGAGAATGAAAAGTTAATGAAAAAAAAAGTATTTTCTCTAAACATTCATTTACAAAATTATTCAACCCCCAAAAGTCAAATTTTGTCTTTTATTCTTTATAATCTCCAATAAATGTTGCCAGATTCTCCAATAAATCTTAGCCTCAGAAGCTTCCCGATCACTGAAAATCTTTGGTTTTCATGTTGCCACTTTCTTTAAATTACACCAAATATTTTTATTCAGATTTAAAACTGAAGA